AGTTCTTATTCCTATCATATCAAAAGTGCGAATAAAACTCTTACCGACTCTATAAAAATCCAATGGTTTCAATGTCCTATGTGTGTTTAAGTGAAGTCCGTCAGTAACGTTTCAACTGGTGATCACTCAGTGCTAGATAATTATGTAAATACAGCCATTTTTAATTTTCGATTGCTCAAGAGAGTACCTACGGACTCGCGTGTTCCCTTGGCAGAAAGTCATTTCGATGAAATGAATAAAAACTTCTACAATAAAAAACATTTTTACCTATTGGCTGGTTTTTTGACGTCCTTCTTGTTTTTTCGTGAACAACCCAGGAAAAGTGGTCGTGAACAAACGACAGCTATGAGTTCTATGATAAAAAAATTAGAGTCAATATTGTTTCACTGCCTAAACCTCTTCTTCAAGGGTCAAGCCCGCCCCAGACAGACCTCAAACAGATAACAAAGCTAATCAGCAGCAAGCTCGATGAAGAAAAAAGAGAAATAAGGCTGGCTGCTTCAAATGACAAGATCGCACATTTTTCGATTCCTAACTATGAAAACTTGGTATCTAGGTAAAACTTATCGCCCTCGTAAAAATAGACGGAAATTTGCGACCAATTGACATCGGCAACACGCTCAGACGCATCGCGTCTGGATGCGCAGAAAGCAAGGCTCTCGCAGAGCGACAAAACTTTTTAGGGAGTTTTCAAGTAGGATGTGCTTCTAAACGAGGAGCTAAAATGCTGCACACTCCTTTAGAAGTTTGATAGAGCGTGTTGACAACCCGAAGTGCTCAGTTTTAATTAAATTACACTTTAGTTTGGCATTTAGTTCGTTTTTTAGAGAAACTATGCTGAATCACGTTTTTTCGGACCACCCGGACCAGGACAAATAAACGCATTGCGCCTACAGTAAACCGATTTATTTTTTTCACGGAATTTCCATCATTATGTCATAGAACGGAAAGCCCTCGTAAAAATAGACGGAAATTTGCGACCAATTGACATCGGCAACACGCTCAGACGCATCGCGTCTGGATGCGCAGAAAGCAAGGCTCTCGCAGAGCGACAAAACTTTTTAGGGAGTTTTCAAGTAAGATGTGCTTCTAAACGAGGAGCTAAAAATGCTGCACACTCCTTTAGAAGTTTGATAGGGCGTGTTGACAACCCGAAGTGCTCAGTTTTAATTAAATTACACTTTAGTATGGCACTTAGTTCGCTTTTTAGAGAAACTATGCTGAATCACGTTTTTTCGGACCACCCGGATCAGAACAAATAAACGCATTGCGCCTAAAGTAAACCGAGTTATTTTTTTCACGGAAATTCCATCATTATGTCATAAAACGGAACACAACAAGGTGATCAAGAGTCTCTACCGCTTTTTGCAGAAACAAGGTAGACGCTAATAAAAAAAGGCTTGAATCCAAAAAAAGCGTTTGGTATTTAGATGATGGAAACCTAGCCGACGACTACGAGATAGTGCTCCGAAACCTTAAAAAAGAACTGCTAGATGAAAAGATAACTGAATTGGAGACAATTTTTGAACTTATTGATAAACTGGATGCATATTTTGGTTTTTCTTCTGAAAAACTGCTTCAGCAAGCTGAAACTGAATGTGCGAACGACCTTCACTCAGGTAACATTAAGCTATGTTTTCACACAAACGATTGAAATTTGCGTTAAGGTCACTGCACAGCAATTCCCAGATTAAAAATTATTTTTTTTTCATAAAAGACTTGAAAGTTAAATAAAGATACTGAAAAAGTTGGTAGTAAAGAGTCAATCTGCATCAACATCTTTGGGCACACAATTAGCCTAATAGTTGTGATAAACTTTATAAAACTTTTACTGGACCTTCTGAGCTCAGGTGAGATTGTCCCTTTTCAGCGAGTTTTATAGATTTCATATATATATATATATATATATATAATTTTGTAAATTAATTTTGCAATAATATTTTTTCATCTACAAAAGTCCAATCCTATTATTATGGGTTAGTTCAGTCTCCTTGTGTCCAAAACAACCCAACCCCTAAACAAACACCTCCCCCTTTCCACACCTGAACCAATCCAACCCTCACCTGAACCAACCCAACAACCCCCTCCCCTGAACCACAACCAACCCCCCCCCCCCCCCCCCCAACTGATCTGGTTCAGGCAGGGTGTGGGGGTGGAGGGTTGGTCCAGGTGGCACTCAATTGGGGAGGGGGTTTGGCTCAGATGGGTTGGTTCAGTCGGGAAGATGGCTGTTAACAGGCAAAGGGGCAAACGATAGGGGTGGGTGTTAATGGAAGGGGGATTAGTCCTCCTCCAATTTTAGCCCAAAACCCAAAATTTTTAATGACTCAAGCAAACTGCTGAAAGGAACAAACTTCATGTAATTGTGTAACATAAAAGAAAAAAAAATTACCAAAATTGCCCAGAAAAAGAAGTTAAAAAACAAAAAAATCCATTCTACGTTAAATCGTAGAAGTTTTTATGTTCAAATCTCAATAAAATTTTTAAAAAATCAATTATAATTAAAGTTTTTGTCAGTCTCCACAAAAGTGAGAAAAAGTCGATTATTAATGAAATTACTGACAACGAAACTGACATTCAAACTCAATTATTATCGTTTTCTATTCATGGAACTCCAATGCGGGAACAGTCTAAAGAAATGATCAGATCCTAAGGCCATGTTCGGTAGTGGCGATTTGAATGCTGGATCATTTGTTTAGAATTTTTTTAAAGAAAAACTTGAGTTATGTTTTTCTTCTCGCTCCACATCTATTAACTTCGCCGAGTAGGAAAAAACTATTTTACATAATAATTTTTTCGGCTGATTTTTTGAACCTCAGGAACAAGTTGTGGGGCTCAAATATGGTATCATATTTAAATTTAAACTTTATCAACAGTGATTCGGATTTAAAACAATAAAAAATGTTGATGTTTTACCATAGGTGGTATATGCAACAGATTCAACTGCTCTCTCTGATCTAGCAAAGACACTCTGATTTAGCTATTTGCAGGAAAAGCTTCAGATAAAACATTCGAGAGTCTTAGCAATATCTCAAGCGAACAGGTTTTTATTTCGCAAAAAATTACTGAAAAGGGCGCGTAATTGTCCATGTCCAATGTGAAGGTACAAAAGGCGTTGTGAGAGCAAGAAACCTTTAATTGAGTATGTTTATCGGTACACTAACAGCCGCTGTCGTAACTTATAACCTTGAGAAAAAACTCGTTTTCTGTAAATTCGAAATTATCGACTCAAGTTATTGTAATTTTGCTCTTTTTCTTTGCCGTAATTACGCCGTTCTGCCGAGTTTCCACTCTAATTGAAATTAGTCTAAAAACGGTAGTAAGTTTATATGCTTTATTTCGAAAAATTTGTTCTGGGTCCTCCAAAATCGGAATTTTGCGAATACAGATTTGGGGACAAGGGAAAATTATTCAAACAGACGAATCTGTCATAGCCAAGATGGTTGGTCCTCTTAGATTCCCTTATGTAGACGAGACCATTAGTTTCTCTCTACGTATCCGTAGAGCACAGCAAAAACTTTAAGGCTCCAATCTCCGGGGCTCATACAAATAAAATCGAAGCAATGTGGAGACAGGCCGCGAAAAATTGGAAAGCTGTGAGCAGTGTTATTGATCTCTGGTTACCTCCTCATCTTGAAGAGTTCCTTTGGAGACGACATTTTGGGAGCGCTAAGGTTGTTTTATACAGCCTCATAACTCATGTGAATTCCATTACACGAATTAAAACTCATACAAAACTTTGTTCCTCCGTTTTGTCTCTCGCTTTATTTTTTTTGTGCCTAATAGTAATGCAATTATGCAATGGTTAATGAAGTCTACCATCTTGGTTTGGAACAGTTGCTAATACATTTGACTCAAGGATCAGAGGTATGGCTTCGTAGCGCGCTCGAACCAGTTTTTTTTTGCAAAGACTGAGACTGTTGCCACCTATTAATACAATATATCACCCAAAAAGTTGTCGCAGTTTCGAAACAAATGATATTAAATTTGGCTCCTAGGGCCAATTTAGATCAGCATTGGTCTGAAATGTGGTTTTTATACTTTTTCTCTGAGCGTTATTGATAAAAGTGGTCCTATCTACACTTGCGCATAGCAACCAGCTTTCGTTTTAACTTGAAAAAAAGAGTGTGTTCTGGTGGTACGCTAGCAAAGCGGTTGGTGCTGGCGCCTCGCATTCAACAAGTTGGCTAATCATGTCTCGCCTAATTCCTTATTTAGCTATTCAGGGCAGGTATTTTTTATTTTTTCTGAGACCAGAGTTATTTAAAAATTACACGTATGCAGGCGCGGATCTAGGAATTTATCGAAGGTGAGGGGGAGGTTTCGGATTATCAACTTTTTTTTTAGGTCGACCAAATTGATTTTGTGAGCTCTCCGAAACCTCTATAAAGACCCAAACTTGACCAAATTTTCTGCGCCGGAGGCAAATTTTTGAAAAAGGCCAAATAAAAGCGTTTTTAGGCTCTTTTAGGAAAACTTTGACCAAAAAATTGCGTTTTTTCGGCGCGCGCTCCCCCTCAGAATTAGTATGGATTGGCGCCAAAGGTGTCTTTAGGAAAATTTTAAGGTCAGTCAGCCAAAAATGGATATCTGAAAATAGCACAAAGGGGGGACCCTTTCGGTTGACTGGGGGTGGAATTCCTGAGGGAAAAAAGCGCCCCCCCCCCCCTAAATCCGCACGTACGTTTTGTTTTAAGAATGGTTACAGCATACGGCAAGCTCGTATATTGGTCAAAAAAATTGAGAGGGAATGGCTTGATCAGGCCAAAGACACTCTGATTTAGCCATTTGCAGGAAAAGCTTCAGATGAAGCATTTGAGAGTTTTAGCAATATCTCAAGCGAAGAGGTTTTTATTGACAACAGTTTTCATATATATACTTATTTTTTAGAATAATTCAAAAAAAATTAATTTAAAAACCTGCTCTCTTTCGCATTGAAAGAGCCAGATGCTACCAAGTCCTTCAATTCACACTACCATTTGAAAAACGATGTCACTGTATAGAAGTTTAAGCTCAAAAAGAATGAAGGCATTTTCTTTTGTATAAAGCCAAGTCAATTTGAACAGAAAATGTAAAGCAGTACCAGTGCCTTTCTTCACTTGTTCTTGCTGTTCAGCAAAAACGACACAAATTAAAACGCTAGTATTCAAAAGCGTAAAACTTCAATAGCAAATCTAATACGATGAAAAACGCTGAGTTTAAACAAAATTTGTTACTTGAAAAGCATGAAAGCAATGAACCTTACGGTGCCATGGATTCTTCAAATAACGAAGAAAAAATCCCGACGAAAAATTTGGAGGAAGCGTTTCCGTGCAAGAATGGACATGTAAGGTTAGATGGGTCTCGTGCATACACACCGACAGAAGTTATCACAGCAATAGGGTTTGGCCGGTCTCAAACTCTCACTCTAATTGTTCTAACCTTTGCCTGGTTCGCTGAGCTTGGCGAGATATCTCTGATGCCTATTCTGTCCACTCGCTTGTACGTAGAGTGGGATCTCACTCCGGAGCTTGAGTCGGCTCTGGGCGCTGCTTCGTTTGCTGGCTTCGCAATCAGTTACCCTCTGTGGGGTCTGGTGGCGGATAGAATAGGGAGGAGGCCCACTCTGATTGTGTCCCACTGTTGGATCCTGTTCTGGGGACTCCTCTGTTGCCTTGCTCCCAACTTGACCTGGCTGATTATCTTCAGGTCTTTCTTCTCACTCGCTGGAGGTTAGTCCCCAAATTTCACCTTTATTCGCCAACCAGATAAAAATGAACATCGATAGTGAGACTGGTATAGCTGCTGCGTAATATAAAACAGGAAAGACATAAATTTTTCAGAAATTGGTCGGCATATTTGGATTCAAAGCGATAAATTGGGTTCATATTTAAGCAGAAACTTATACTGAATCAATGTTAAATTAATAAAAGCGGCAAGACTTTTCCAATAGTTTGAGGGCTTCTTAAATTACCTGAATAAAATCCCCCCACCCGAAAAAAAAACTTTTTTGTTATAAAAAAAAGAATAAGCTAACAACAGGTTTGTATAATTTTATAAGTAAAGAAACTTCAATATTAGAGCATGAAAGTTTGTATAGGAATCGCTAACATCATGATGCCATACTACTACGAGTTCCTGGCGCCCGAGGAACGGTACATCGGAGTCGTGTCTGGACACGGGTTTGGCGCTGCCATCGGCAATACTTTCCCTGTATTGCTCGCTTTAATAATGCTGCAAACCGAACAACTGGGTGCCTGGCGATGGTACCTGTTCGCCAACACAGCTCCATTTTTCATCTTCATTCCCCTGGCAATTCTTTTTCTCGAAGAATCGCCGCGATACCTTATGAGTAAGGGTCACAACAAAGAAGCCTTGTCTGTTTTGAGACGAATAGCCGAACGAAATAAGGTTGAACTACCCGAAAGCTTGGCCCTAATTCCCGACACTGAAAGTGGAGATTCGGATGAGAAACTGTCTCTTAAAGACCAAATGAAATTAGCTGTGACAGATCGCGACATCTTGCGAAGTTTTCTGTGTATTGTTACTATAGGCGTAGTATCCAGATATGTGTTATATGGCACTGCCTTTCTCAAAACTGAAGTCGTTTTCAAACAAGGCCAAGCTGATAACTACTGCAAAAGCGACCGCGAACGCACTTACTTCTTAGAAACCGATGACTATCTGGCACTGCTACTAATTCAAATCGGTGATTTGGCTGCTGCGTTTGTCATGATTCCGGTTTTGAAGCACAAGTTTCCCCTTCGTGAATGCACCTTGGCCGCTTACTCCATAGGCTTCCTCCTCATGGCCCTGTTATTCTTCTGTCCGAGTCTGATTGTTGCTCTGATTCTCATTACATCCTTGAGAACGATGGTGCAAGTCTCAAACTCAGTCATGATGGTCAGTCTTTCGGGACTGTTGCCAACTAGAGTCAGAAGCAGTCTATTTGGTTTTGGCACTTTTTTCATGTACTTAGTACTCCCGTTCACGCCCTATCTGACCCAGAACCTCTCCAAATATTCTCAGCATTGGGTCACCTCCGTTTTGATGACGTTTCTGGTTTTTGGTACCGTCGGAGCTCTCTTCACTCCCGCCAAAATCTATTCGAACTAGAATATGAAGAATTTAAACATATTGTAAAATAAAGAAACCTCTTTTGGTGCTGTTTAATTTTATCATTATTACGTAGTGTCAATATAGTTTTAAAAGAAATTTATTTTTGACAGAATCAAGTTGTACGCAGTTTATCGAGTCTAACGACATTTTAGTTACCCCCCGAGAAACATCGAAATTTTGCTTCCAGTTATGGAAGCATTGAAATTTAAAATTTAAACAGAGGCGAAGCACAGCTTCGCATCACTTGCGATACGCGATAAAGCATAAGAAGTCTTGGTAGAACTTGCTAGCCTCGGTAGAATTTCATCTCAGGCAAAGACGCCAGATATTTGAATATCAAATTAGAAACAAAACGAAATTTACGAAAAGAAAATGAAAAAAACTAATGAAATTTTGGATAATCAAATTTTCAAGTCTCTCCTGAAACTACATTGAACAATACTTGCGCTTGTAACTACATGAAAGTTGCTTACAGTATAAACAGAATCCGTGATGTGGTAATGGAGCCGCTAAAACTTGAGCAGACCAGCGAAAGCCCGACTTTACATACTTTTCCGGAAAACATTTACGATCGCATACATGCTGAAAAAACAAGGTCCTACCGGTAAAAGAAACGCCGACATTAGAATACTAAAGCGTCGATGATGCTTATAGACCATGTAGGAACGCTCCTGAAAATTAATAAGATTTAATAGGAACGCAAGTAGGAGAAGCAAGAAAGAATGTACGAAAAAATGTTTACGGAAAAAGTCTAGTTACCGACTACAAGGTACTTGCTTTCGCAAGTGTCAGAAATGCTTAAGAAGTGTAACCAACCCTCTTTCAGTGGAACCAAGAAAAAAAAGAATGACCATGCCATACGAAAAAAATGGCCATGAAAATGTTTTGACATGTCGTGAGAAAAAAATGACTGGTAAATGAAATTTTGTTAACGTACGACTCTTTGCCTGGTTTATAATTTGTTTTATAACAGTATATCAAAAAATTCATAAAAAAACATGCTACCTAGGTTGAATAGTTCTGTAAGAAATCAGGTTCTCAATTAGATTTTTTGTTTAAATTGTTTTGAATTGGTGTCTTCTCTTGTGATCAAAATTATCTACGATGTTTTTAATGATAACACTTTTTAAGCTTTTGTTCAATCTTTTTAACTGAAAGTTTTTCGCAGTATGGAATTAATGACTCTTAATTTCAAATTAAAAGCTTCTGAGGATGTTTTTTGTTATTTATTTTATTTTCAGCACTGAGTAGTTTTAACAATTTCTTTTTTAGTAATGAGTATTTCTCCAAGTTTTTTTATAAAATGAAAATGAGTAGTTTTTATCAGTTTTTTCCATTAATGAGTAGTTTGCATTATCATCACAAATGATAAACGCAAGCAAATTATCAAAAGTTAAAACAAATTCGCCAAAAACAAATCAACTCTCCTACATATCTTTTACAGCCGTCTTGTCAGCTGTAACATAAAGGAGAACGAGCAATAAAAAAAAAGATTTGACATGAAGTTTGAAAATTGTTTAAAAATGATTCCCTCTTTAAACTGTTTTTCATAGGTGTATAAAATGTTAATGTTTTCTTATAATTTTGTACTAAAAACCAATTAATCTTCGCCGCTGAGCCTAGATATAAATGTTAAGTAACGCTATAAAACCGCCGTATTTATTACTAAATAAAACTGAATCATTTTCTGTTGAATTGCAGTCGCTTAAAGAATAGAAAAATGTTTGATTTTTCTGTTCCCACTTTTTTGATTTTTCTCACTTTCGATGGTTTTTTTAAATAAAATCACTTTAACTAAAATAGTTTAGAATTAGTTTTGAAACAAGGAATCTACGAGTTTCTAAGCGTTGGCTACGTGCTATTTTATACTGCTCGCTTAATACGGTGAAGACTTTTTTTCTGAAACTGAAAAAGTAACACAAGTTTTTCTTTTCAAACAAACTGTTCCAAATACAAATAAGGCAACCTAATTAATCAATTTATTGCTCAGACTTTCGAAGAAAATGAAGGAATACATATGCTCGACGTGGTTTTTTTATTCAAACCAATTTTAGAAATCTCTGGTCCCTCGGGGGATCGATCTTTTGAGCTGAGTGGAAGCAGATGTGAATGCCAACGTTATAGTAACCTTCCAAGATTTTGTCTAAGCTGCTGGTTTTATATTTCACGCGTAATGGTACACAGAATCATTCCAATTTGAATTGGGACAGCTAATTGATTTTATACACGAATCATCTTTAAACATTTAAAACTTGATTTCATCAGCCTAAATAGTTTTGCAAGAAATCAAGAAATCATTTCACCGCAGATTATTCGAGACTAATTAAACAGCAGTCGGACTATTCAGGGATTTTCTGTAGATAGCTCAAATTTGGGCACTCAACATTTGAAATTGTCAGCGTAAGGGTTATAATTTATCAAACTTTTTCTTCGAAAAATTTTTTGGAGACCAATTAAAGGGCTATAGAAGCGTTCAACATTTCATGTAATGAGCAATTTACCATGTGCCCTGGTGTCCAAAAAAAATAAGTTACAGCAAAAAAAACTAACCCAAGAAACCGGAAAAATTACTAATGCGGATGGGACGGAAAGGGATGTCACACAAAGCTGCAAATGAACTTAGCTTCATTTTTGTTCAAGTAGGCAAGAGCGATCCGATTGGAAATCTCTTCACCGCTAAACCTAGATATAAATGTTCAGTAACGCTATAAAACCGCCGTATTTCTTACTAAATAATACTGAATCATTTTCTGTTGAGTTGCTCGACGCGAGGCGTTCAACATTTCATGTAATGAGCAATTTACCATGTGCCCTGGTGTCAACAAAAATTGAAGTTACAGCAAAAAAAACTAAACCAAGAAACCGGAAAAATTACTAATGAGGATGGGACGGAAAGGGATGTCACACGAAGCTGCAAATGAAAAGCTTCGTTTTTCATAGACAAGCTAATCAAAGTTTGAAACTTTGAAAAAACTTCGTATTTCTTCAGCAAGCTATTCAAGCTGAAAAATTTGAAATTTTAGGTTAATTCACGAAGCTGATGACAAAACTTATATTTTTTCAACTGAGCACATTCGATTTTTAAAAATTTGAAACAAATCATTATGTTTCGTAGACCAAATCTGTTCACAAAAATTTCGAGAACTTCTCAAGCAAGCAATTCAATTTTAAAATCAGTGAAAAATTTCAAGTTATTTCATAATGCAAATTGGATAGGGAAAATTTAAACTCTTCTATTAAAGCCATTCATTCGATGAAACTATTAAAGGCTTCAAGTCAATTCTAAAATCGAATCAGTTTGCAAAACTTTGAGTTTTCCAATGCAAGCTATTCAAACAATGAAACTACGAAAAGTTTAAAGTGTTGTCATGGAGCAAATTGATTCACGTTTTTTAAGCAAGCTTTTCAAGCTGATAAAAATTAAAATTTTAGGTTATTTATAAAGGGAATCCGATGATTTTTAATTTGTTTTCAATTGAGCCCGTTCAAGCATCGAAAATTTGAAACAAATCAGGTTGTTTCCTAGACCGAATCATTAAACAAAACTTTCAAGAATTTTTTAGCAAGAGGTTTTTTTAGAATTTTTTCATAGACCGATTCGATTTGCTTCACAAATTTTTTTTTTCGCCAGACCTAACCAGGCATTAAAGTTTTGAAAATTTTTAAGTTGTTTTAAGAACACAATCGGCTCCACAAAAAATGTCAGTTTGTCTCAAGCAAGCTATTCAGGCTATAGAAATTTTTATATTAGTTCAAAGACCAAATTGAATCGCAAAATTATCTTTTCTGATGCAACCTATCAAATTACATTGGTCGAATGTTTCAAAATGAAAAAAAAACTAAAATTTCAAAATTTCAAAATTGATTTGCGCTATTTTTCAAAATTTCAAAATTTCGTAGTTTTTTATTCAAACTAATCAATAAAAACTAATAAATTACGATTTTTAATTGCAGGAAAATTAAACTTTTCTAAACAAGTTATTCAAGATATGAAATTTTGAAATATTTCATATTGTTCATAGCGCAAATCTTTTCACAAAAGTTAAAGACTTTTTGTGTATGATATTCAATCGACTTCAAATTAAAGCAATTATAGTAGTTTAATTAAGCAAATGCGATCAAGAAAAGCTTACATTTTTCTCTTGAAACCATTCAAGCCAGGAAATAGGTTATTTCATTGACCGATTTGCTTTGCAAAAACTCTAGTTTTCGGTAGCAAGCTAATCAAAATATGAAGCTTTGAATTAGTTCAAGTTATTTAATTGAGCAAATCAGTTGGCGATATTTTTATGTTTTTCTGAGCAATCTATTCAAGCTACAAAAATTTGAAAAACTTCAAGTTATTTCAGAAAAAAATCCGAGGACCAAAAGTTTTAGTTTTTTATTTGGTGCCATTCAACCAACGTAATTTCTCATACTTCAAGTTAATTCAAGGAGCAAACCTGTTCATCAAAATGTTAATGTTTTTATAGCAAATTATTCAAGCTACGAAACTGTGAGTCATTTTAAAGTATTGCACGAATGCGTCGGAAGGCGACATTTCTTAAATATTTAAATAGAGCCATTCAACTTATAAAATTTTATACTTTCAAGATATTTCATGGACCGAATCGTTTCGTAAAAAAAATAGATTTTTTCTATACATGCTGATCAATTTATGAAATTTAGAAACAGTTCAACATGCTTCATAGCGCAAATCAATTTACAGAAAGTTAAATTTTTTATGTGTAAGCTATTCAATTGATCTAAGTTTGAAACATTTTTAGTAGTTTCATTGCGCAAATGCGTTCAAGAAAAGCTTAAAATTTTCTCTTGAAACCATTCAAGCCAGGAAATAGGTTATTTCATTGACCGATTTGCTTTGCAAAAACTTTAGTTTTCGGTAGCAAGCTAATCAAGCTATGAAGCTTTGAATTATTTCAAGTTATTTAATGGAGGAAATCAGTTGGCAATTTTTTAATGTTTTTCTGAGCAATCTATTCAAGCTACAAAAATTTGAAAAATTTCAAGTTATTTCATGAAAAAAATCCGCGGACCAAAAGT